CGGGCGGGGCGGCCCTGCCGTGGGCCCCGCCGCCGGGGATGAGGTTGAGCCCCAGTCACCCCGGGAGGGCTGTTCGCACGCAGACCCCGCAGCCGTGGGGGTGTGTGGGGGGGAAATGGCCGCCGAGGGCACCATCTTGCCCCCCTGGGTGGGCAAAGGGCAGGTAGTGTCTGAGGCCGCTTGTAGCCATCCCGTTTTCAGGTAACTTTATCAGCCTTATCTGCCTGTCCCCAAACTACTGCAGATAAGAAAAGTGTGGAATCCCGCACGGATCACGTCTTGAAAATCGGTGGCAGATGCCTGAAGATAGTCATCCAGCCAGGAGAAGGGGAACTGAGCAACAGCCAGTTTTCAGAGCAGGCATCCCCCAGCCACTCCGCCTCTTCCGGCTCTTCCCCACCTCCGCAAAGGTTTGAGGAGCAGCAGGCAGCGCAAGGCCATGGAGACACGGCAACAGAAGTCATTACCAAAAAGGTACATCAGGAAGAGTAGTAACAAGCAGTGTCACAACCTGTCCTGCTTGTAGTTCTGCAAGTCCTTTGCATTGCTTTCTGTTGCGTTTCAATATTTCATGCCAAGCAAATGTCAGTTACATTATCTTAGTCAGTAAAATGGGGACAGGGAGTGACTTTTGAGTGCTGGACCACAGGTCATCCACACCTTTTAACAGACAGCATGTTCTCCATCATGGCTTTGGCACATGCCAGCTACCACTCCCCAAAGCGGCACCCTGGCAGGTTTTGGGGGATAGTGCGCACCAAGGACTGCTCACAAAAGGTGAACAAATTGTGTAAGATTTGGATCCCTTCCTGCTATGCAGACCTCTAACACTATTTCAATGTGTTTTGCACCTTCAAACAGCTCTAATTCCATCCCTTACCTCAGCATTACAAAAATCTGCTCTGATGTGATGTAGCACAGCAAACATTATTTCAGATACTTTAAACTAAAAGTTATGTAGAAAAGAGAAGATCAACTGTGTTAGGGACATGGAGTAGGGCCAGGCTACATGTTACATGATGTGGATGTGGCTCTACCGAGTGATACCTGGCCCAGAGGGTTTACTCTCTTTTGTGTAGTAGCATAGATGTAGCTTTTGAGTTATAGCATGTGCCAACGTAGTGGTTACCTGGCATCTGTAGGAGTATACTTGCTTCTGTCTGTGCAAACTAGAGATGTGAACACGTTTGTTATTATAGAACCATAGAATGGTTTGGGTTGGAAGGGACCTCAAAGATCATCTAGTTCCAACCCCCTGCCATGGGCAGGGACACCCTCCACTAGACCAGGTCGCCCAAAGCCCCATCCAACCTGGTCTTAAACACTTCCAGGGATGGGGCATCCACAACTTCTCTGGGCAACCTGTTTCAGTGCCTCACCACTCTAACAGTAAAGAATTTCTTTCTAATATCTCATGTAAATCTCCCTTTAGCTTAAGGCCATTCCCCCTTGTCCTATCACTACATGCCCTTGTAAACAGGCCCTCTCTGGTTTTCCTCTAGGCCCCTTCAGGTACTGGAAGGCCACAGTAAGGTCTCCCTGGAGCCTTCCTTTCTCCAGGCTGAACAACCTCAACTCTCTCAGCCTGTCACAGTCTCAAATTAAGTAGCAAAGTTACTGTCTTTGTTTCTGCAATGCTGATGATGTTAACAAATTTCATTTTTGCTACTGACTTAGAAGCAGATCGCTTTACTTATCTGTGTGTAATGTCAGTATATATGACATAAAAGAAACACTGTGTGCAAATGTGTGTATGATAATCTGGCCCTGTTGAGATGTACAGAGCTTTTCCTTACTTAAAATACAGAAGCAGCAAGCAGAGAACCTTAGAAAAAACAAATATTGATATCTTCTTGTCTTATCTTCAGATATTTCTTACAGTATCTGCAACTTTGAATACCAGTATGTTCACTGAACAGCAAAGGGAGAAAATTACCATTATATGTCCGAATTTAAAGAGAGAAGGAAATCCTGATGTTGATGGCTTGGAGAAATTGACGGGAGATTTTACAGATATTGAAAAAGCTTATGACTACTTTAAGGGTATCCTTGCAGGCAATGACCCAAACCATGATTTTTCACATTCTGAAAGCAAGAATGGTTTGAAAGATGAAAATGGTCTGAATACCGAAGAAATGTATGAATTTACAGTTCCGTCAGGTCTCTATGAATATTTCATTCATACCTGCAAAGAACAAATTAAAGAACTATGTGAACGTTTTGGAGTGTGTATAAGAAGTAAAGATCATTGCAGTGGAACCACATTAGTATGGTTCACTTCTGCTAAAAGTCCTGCATCAATACAAAAAGCTAATGATGATTTTATCAGAACTTTTCAGGAAAGTGTAAAAGATCTGAAACAGGAAACAATTTCCATAACAAACAAACACACATTAAAGGAGACAGTAATGAAATTAAATGCCAGGTTTAGTAAACTTCTTGCCAAAGAGGCAGTGAATGAATTGCTACTCCGTGGTCCAGTGAGTGAGATTTTAGCTGCCAAAAACTTTCTAAGAGAGGAAGATGAGAACAGCCAAGCTGAAAAGAATATGAAAATATCATCTGAACTGTACGAGTACAGGAATGGAATTGAAGTTGATGCTTCTGTGTTTAAATTGTTGGAAACAATACTAAGCAAAGAAATTGAAGACATTAAAGACAAATTTAATACAGTAATAGAAAAGAAAGACAGTTCATATGGCCAGAAGATGCTCATAATATTCACGCCTAGAATCAAAACTTCTGATATGTCTTCACATGCTACGGAAAGTTTCATCAATGCATTTCAGAGTGCCTCTGCAATGTTAACAGAAAAACTCATCAACTTGAATCTTTCAGAAGGTCAGAAGAGAAGATTAAATATGCTAATTAATGGAAAACAATTGGAAGATCTGCATGTAAAACTTAAGAAGGAGGAAGACAAATTCATCTTAAGTGGTTTACCAAACCATCTTAATGCTGCTGAAAAGTACATTGTGAAACATCTTATTGAAGACTCAGCACAAAGTAAAAGTAGGACACCACTATCCTCTGATCTCAACTATCAAGAAGCCACAGGAGAATCTGAGAAGAAATACAATGGCAGGCAAAAGAATAATCCTTCTTCTGAAGGACAGTCTAAGGCAAAGACAGAAGATGACAAAGATATGTGTCCGATTTGCATGGAGACAATTAATAATAAAGAAATACTGAGAAAGTGCAATCATGCGTTTTGTAAAAGTTGCATCGATGAGGCCATGACTTATAGGCAAACTTGTCCTATTTGTAATACTGTCTATGGAGTCATGAAAGGAGACCAACCAGAGGGAACAATGTCATCTAGAAAGCTGCCTTCAGCTCTCCCTGGTTATCCCGGTTGTGGTACTATTGAGATTACATATAGTATGCATGGTGGTGTTCAAACTGTAAGTATATTTAAAGATTCATAAAAGATATTTTTCCCACAACAAAACCAATATTAGATAATTGGAAAATGGGATAAATGAAAAAGTCAGGGGTGGGGTGACATGCGTTTGAGAGATCAAAGAGGAAAAAACAAATTCAACAATGGATGTTTCAGTGATGACAAGAAAATGTGAATGAAACTTCTATGAAAAAAATTGTCTAATGGGAAAAAAACACGTCAAAATCAGTTATCAGTCATGTTATGTCCTTCTAATTCAAAGATAGGATAAAAAGTATTGCAAAAGCTGGGATGTGTGATTTTCGCACTTTCAAAGCATTTATGATATACAATGTGTTTTGGTTTTGTTTTTTCTACAAAACAGAGCAACCATCCAAACCCAGGGAAACCTTATAGTCCAACTTTTCGAACAGCGTATTTACCTGACAATAAGGAAGGGCAAGAAATTCTGCAGCTCCTCAGAAGAGCGTTTAATCAAAAATTGATTTTCACGGTGGGGCAGTCACGGACTACTGGTGCAAAAGGTGTTATCACGTGGAATGATATTCACCACAAAACGTCCAGGATTGGAGGACCTACTAAGTAAGTAGTCTTCTCTCTACGTAATTTTACTGATACTCAGATGGGGCAGGAAGGCTGTCCTGAATATTTTCCACATTAGAGCTTTCAGATATTTTATAGCGATGCAAGCCATTGGCAAATCTAAAGTATCTGTCCTGGTCTGTCACTAACAAAGTGATTGTGGAATGCTGTATGGATCCATACTTGAATCACCTTTGCCAATTTGGACACTTGGAACAAGGATGAGCTTAATCTTCTGCTGCCCCTCAGGCCACTCATTCACCAGTGAGTTGTGCAAAGTACCTACTCAGTAACTGCTCTGATTAGAAACTATTTCTAGTACGGGAATGGACAGCAAGCTCTTGATAGCACCTAAGGTCGGACTCCTGATCTCATCTTCTTCTGTTACCTGCTGTTTTGCACCAGGAGGTGCTGGTCCATCATGATCCCAGTAAAGAAGGCACTCAGACTCTGTAAAATATGATTTGAAATTATTCTTATTAGAGCTGACAACCAGAAGAAAGAGATTGTAGTACAGATACGGTTATGTCCTTTTAGACGCTGGGAACCCCGAGTTGTGCAGCATTTTCTGGGCCTCCTATCAGGGCACAGGACACCATGCCAACCCTGTTGTAGAAAGGGTTACCCTATTTTGGTTGTCGGAGCTATTACAGGATTTTCTTAGTAGAAGATAACTCTATTCAGTGTTTCTTGAAGACTTGCTGCACTTCTAGGTAACGGCAAGGACATGCAGGTGATGTCATCACCAGTACTGAGTTGGGAGCTGCCCGCAGCAGCTCTCTTAGTGTGAGCTCCAGGCCTGTCAAGCGGGCACAGGATGTGCACAGCACAACACAGGCCTGAAGGCCACACCACACGTGCAGCACAGCATGGCACAGCACTGGTTAACTGTTACGTGGATCACTAAATCCTCAATGTGTAATGGTCTTCTGGTCAGGATCATTACGTCCCACCCCTTGATGCACATACAATTGGCCTTTCTTAAAGATAAGATTAATTACAGATAATAGCAGTAAACTGTTTGGCTCCTGGAAAAAATCTTACAGAGACAAGAAGGAGGCTTGGAACAGTCCTTTCAGGCTTGTTGCAGCCTCTCAGGGGCAGGTGTCTTCCTGCAAGCTCTAAAGATTGGTGTCTAGATTCTCCTTCCTAGACTAGGATCATAAAAGAGCAAAAAATAGTGGTTTTACTTTATCCCCCACTCTGCCCACATGCTCTCCCTAGTTATCACTTGCTTCATACGTACTTTTGGTGAAGCGCCTTAAAATCCAGAGGTCCCATTATGTTCATGTTTTGAGTGCTCACTTGAATACGCTTCAGGTCTGATTTTTGGAAAGATGCACACCCTGTCATTTTCAAGTGAGACAGCAGGCAGCTTTGAAAATCAGGTTCTTAGTGTCAGTTTGGGCAACCAAATTCAGCAGCTGCTTAAGTTTTTAGCTTTACCCTGTCTGTACCACCTCTCTGACCTGAAAAATAGGGTCTGTTTTCTGTGTAGAATAACAAGTGCATAAAATTTGTAAAACGTTTTAAGAGATTTTGATGGGAAGATTCTGTAGAACTGTTAAGTGCTTCATTGCTGAAGTAGCCCAAACAATTTTTTTCTTCTTCTAGTTTTGGTTACCCTGATGCTGATTATCTGCAGCGGGTTCGATCAGAATTGAAAGCAAGAGGAATTGAATGAAGTTTATCAACCGTCAACTCTTAAGTGTAATAAGTGAACATACAGCAATTAATTTACTATTCAAGCACTAAGAAGAAAGAAGATACTTTGTTCAATTGTTGTACTTAAATCACTTGTATTTTGCAGTCAGCTAGGAAAAGTAATTTTTTTTCATCAAACAATATATGTTCTTTTTACACATAATTTACTTCCTTGAATAATGCTTCCGTATATGTGTAACCTTGACAGATTTTGGGTCTTGTGAGTGCAGCATCAGTACGTGTTGCACTTGTCGAATATCAGATTGTGTATCTTATTCTGCCAGTGAATCTGATCTGCATTTTTTCCCACAAGTCTTCAGTCTGACCACTAAAACCAGTAGATACACTACTAGCTTTTATTCAACCAAACACTTACTTTAGCTTTGAGTTATTACGTCTGTCATCATGGATAGCATCATGTAACCCATCTGCTGGAAAATTTTTACGCAGCTGTTACAGTATCAGTTGTGATCAGGTTATGATATTTTGCTTCTTTTCCTTTTCAGGGTATAATGGCATTAGTGGTTTGGATTTTAAACATGAAAATAGCATGGATAATGTATGTGGGGGTACATGGGTGCTGTTGTATTTTTAACCCTGCAGAAGTGCTGAACGCTCAGATGCATTGGAGAAATGAAAAGTAACAGTGCCTGTGGCCACTTCTGGTAACCGAGTGCTGGTTCTGTGCCTTCCATTGTGTTTAAGCTTAAATACAACTTTTAAGTCAGCTTTGCAACTATGAAACCATGTTCTTCCCTTGCTTCCAATAATAGTATCATAAAGATACTTTGTTGCTACTCTGTGCTGTCTAAATAGTCTGCTAATTACCTTTGTGGTGGTGTGAAACAAATAGCTTTCACTTAATGAAGCCATAGTTGGTGGTGAGTTAAGCCATTTTTGTTAGGCTATTGAATATAATTAATAAATAATATATAAAAATACCAGCTGCGCAGTTCTGCATTCTTCTGTACAGGTTTCTTCTCCTCTTTTAGATATGTGTAGTTGTTTTTTGCTTTTTTTTTTATTTAGGAGCTTCCCAGCAACGCCATGATGTGGGGGGATTTGGCTATATGCCACGTCCTTTTTTTGTTATTATTTTGAAGATTCCCACATTGTGAATAGGCAGTACTACTTTACCACCTTGACCATTAGATTTCTTAATATTGGGCATTGTTTGGTTTCTGTGTGGGTTGGGATGACTTTCCCACTGTGGTTTTCTTTTCCTATATCTGTTTTCGCAGGATTCCAGGTTTCCTCCCTTTTCTGTGCAGTAAGATACCAGCATTCCAATTGTTTCTAAATGACCATGCTTTTCTGCAGACAGAAACAAGCTGTGAAGGTCAAATCTCCCCGACTTCTTTCAGTCTCTCATGTCACTGTCTGTCCCAACAAGCCAGTTCACCGATGTCAGACCCCTGTCTGACAATTCACCGGCTCCCATTTTATCCGTGGCAAAGGCGGAGTTTTGAAACAGAGCCCTATGAACTGTCACTGAAAGCTCCCGAGCCTTTATCCTATAGCCAGCTGCACAGACCTTGACTTTCTAATCATAGCTGTACAGTTTAGGAATAAATCTACCCAATTTGCAATCAAAGCCAGGTTATTTTGCCTGTGTTACAGCAAGGGAGGAGAGCACGCACCTGGGCTAACAGGTCATTAGGGAACTAAAGATTAATTGCCCACTGAGAAACAAAGGCAACCCCAGGGGTTGCTCAGCAGCGTGTCTGACAACACCTGTATTTAGCTGACATCCACCCATGCTTATCATATTTAATGACATTTGGTTATTATCCTTTTCCTCAATGAACTTTCAGTGAAGTTAGAGGGGGCGGTTTTAATTTATCTGCTATTTTATTGTCTCATACTCGAGCACATTAGTAAAATAAGGAGCAAGAAATAGCTGAAAACTGCAAAGGGAAGGCTGAGCACACAGTTGAAAATGTCTGAGCTAGCTGACACGTCGGTCTGAGGAGAATATTTTTCCATTGCAGTCTTGCACAGTTGTAGAAGTATTTCTGATGCAGAATGATGGAAATAGGTAATATTACTTTGTGTCACGACTCGATTTGAAAGCATAATACAGGGGGAGTGAGGTCTGTACTACCCAGTGCCTAACCATTATAAGCTCAGGCATTGAAAACAGCTGTTATTTGTAAGATCGGCTTCTTGTACAACTCTGTGGAAGTACAACGCTACATTTATGATCTCCTGAGCAATGCTAGCTGCGTAACCCGGGCTGCTCTCCAAGGGCGGTAAGAGGCCGCTTCCTGCCCCCGTGAGGAGGCGCGGCGGGGGAACGGGGCCTC